CCAGAAAAACAATCGAGCTGACAGATTTTTGTGCGTTGACATCACAGATGGGAAAAAGTCTTAGTAATCCTCAAAAGTTTCTTCCAGTGGATGATTTCACTGAAGTCTCTGGATCAGTCCCAGCTGCTGCAAACGAGCACAGACAGACCAGAATTCAGCAATAACACAGGAGATTTGGGTAACAGCTTAGATGGTATCTCAGCATCCAGGAGCATGTAAGAAACATTTTCATACAGAACATCGGGAGCAGCAATAGGGTATTTGGGGCTAATTGAATGCAGTATTAGAGTCCAATTTGTCTAACCTCTAAATCACATGTTTTGTGGCTTCATCACATGTAGAAATGCTGGCTTCAATCTGCCAACCATCGGTGCCTTGTTCCAGGTCATGACAATTTCTTGTAAAGCCTCTGGGTTAAGCAATAAGACAATTTTATTCAATGGCTGTGCTCATTCACTGAAGACTGATGTCAGCAGCTGGTAGAGCAACAAAGTACCTTTCTCTGAGCCCATCTATTCCCAAACAGGTTGGGCAACTTCCAATCCTGCTAATGGTGCCTCCCTCCCAAAACCAGGTCTATGGGAGATACACATCAATTCTCAGCCTGGGTGGCATTTTGCCCACTTTAATACCTCTTTATCACCTTTATCTGATCGTAGCAATTTCTTGCCTAATTTATTAGCTCAGGCTTTCGCTGTAGTGTGCTATAGATGCTATGATACTTCAACTTAATGGTACCTGTATTGATCTGAACCTGCCTGAAGCCATCCTCCTTGCTCTTTCCTTGGCTCACACCCTGACCACGCTGATGGCTCATTTCCCTAACCGCCTTCATCAAAGCACAAACACGGTCCAAAACTACCAGCTATCAATTTTGCTGCAAGTAAATATTAGGGTACCCACGTGTAGGAGAAGTAACACTGATTAATGGTTTGTACAGGGAGGCTGGCTTTAAGCTGCAGTAGGAGCACTGCACTGGGAGCCGTGGAGGAGGATTCCTGCTCAGAGCCGATGGTTCAAAGCAGCCCACACCTGCAAAACTGCCTCCAGACATTTGCTTACAAGAGCTCTTTGCTGTGCATCAGGTTGAGGGCCAGGAACAGTCCTGCTGGGATACAAAGATACCCAGGATGTTTGGGAGTAACATAGAATAGTAAAAGCACAACAGGAGAATACTTACTATTTATACTGTGGTTGTTTTTTTGCATTTAACCCCACTTAATAGCCAGGCTAATTCCAGCTCAAGCGGTAGGTGTCCTCACCAGCATGGTCGAAGCAGGCTGGTGATCCCACGCAGGTTGGAAGCGGTACCTGCTCCCATCAGCAGCGTTTCCAGAATCTTCCCTCTCTTGCTGGAAAAATTCCCTGGCCAGGGCTGCTGTGGGCAGGCTGCTCCTGCCACCGATGGAAGCACCAGACAGGCTTGGGGCAGGTCCTCCTTCATCCACCTGCCCCATGTGCATCTGTCCTGCCCACCTGCAGAGGGACACAGCATTTCCATCTGATGCCAGATTTTATCACGACTTACTCTTAGCACGATGCAGTCGCACTGCACATAGAAGTGATTTTCACATGGAAATAGGAGGTTTGGGGAAATATCGGGCATTTTTCCACCCATTTGCTGCAATACACCCTCCCCGTCTGAGCCTGCACTGTGGCAAAGCTCTCTGACTCCTGGAGTACCCATCCCAATGCTCAGCTGGGTCAGGGACAGAGTCCCCCACTTTGGGATTAACAGAAAGCCTTTGTATCTCCCCCATTTTGTCCCATGGGGGACAAGTCTCTATCAAAAGTCTCTATCATCTGGGCAATCATTAAGCAGTCAAAAGTCTCTATCATCTGGGCAATCATTAACTCCCCTCTGTGAGCCGGGGAGGTGCGAGAAGCCACCCTGCTCTGCAAACACATGAATGGCTCAAGTGGAGATTAGCAGGAGTGTGATTCCAGACGCGCTGTGCCACGGAGGTGACAGGGTATCAGGGAGCAGGCAGAGCTCTGAGCAGCCTGCCCGCCCCCTGCCCTTGGCTTTGCCACTGCCAAGGTCACCACCACGCTGCAACCAGCACGACTTCTTTGGTTGTAATAGGATTGCACAAAGTTTGTGCTGGGGGACATGGAGCAGGAGGGAGGGCTGGGCTGCCCAGCTGGACCCCACCACCGCAGGCAGCACCTCAGCCAACATCTAGCATTAACTCAGGGGAGGAAATGTTTAACCAGCCTCCGAGACCTCCCTGCAGCAGGAGGTGAAATGCTGTCTGCCTTCGAGTCCAAGCCCCGGGTGACTCCAGTGGGGCCAGAATTTTGTCTGCAGATCGGGAACCGGGACAAGACTGGCAGCGATGCTGCCCTCCCAACCCCGAGCTGAGAGAGGAGATTTAATAAAGATAGAGACAGGGCTGGGCAGAGCTGTCTGCTCTGTAATTCACAGCTTCACGGAGGCTCCTCAGCGCTGCGGCCGGGCGGACAGCGAGCCCGTCTCGGCGGCAGCGTTATCTCACTGTCATTACATCCACGTCGGGCTGGCTGCGTTACACAACCACGGAAAAGCCTGTGTTTGTCCTGGGTCCTCACTTGACACCTCTGGGGTTTTTTTTAATACACAGGAGACGTGTCCCCACAAGAAGGCTCCTGGTGCCGCAGCAATTGGCCAGAGAAATGACAGTCGGCAGCCAGCGTGGCTAGCAAAGTAACTCAGCAGCTACAAGTCAATCTGATGTACAGCCCCAGCAAGGAGGACCCAGCCGTGGGGTGCCCCAGAGCCATCTTCCTCTTCCTAGCCTTCATTAATTAACCGTGCAGCCACCCATCAGCGAGGACCCAGGTGCACATTCAGCACAGTGTTATTTTCTCTTTATGCGCACGTTGACTGAAAAGACCGTGTTGCTGCCTCAGCAGGGCAGAGTCCAAGTCCCAAGAAATGAGCCCTCTGTGGCCACACATGCCAGAGATCCATGCTGGAGCCATTCCAGAGCTGCTCCAGAGCCACCCAGCTCTGCTGCCAGCTCCTGGGCTCACTCCTCTTGGGGTGACACCTCCAAACAGACCCTCACCTGCAAACACCCCCCTCCCCAGCACTCACAACAACACGGGACCACACGGGGCACAGGAGATGCAATGAGTGATGCTGGGCTGAGCTCCCCGTGTCACCCCCTCCCAGGACACCAAGCCACTTCATAAGAAACACGTGGCAGTTGGTGAATGACGCAACTCCTTGTCTGCAGGAGCCACTCCAGATAAATATCACCCAGCAATCAACCGCCTTCACACAGTAACCTTTCGGGGAGCTGGGGGGCGGGGGATACAAAGGGGTTATGTTAATCCCAAAGACTCAGGAGCACAGGGTGAGATTGCTTGCTAATTTGGATAGCAAAGAGGACGGTAGTGCAATGAGCTCCTAGAAAAAAACAGCTTTGCCATGAAAAGTCCTTTGGTTGAGAATGGGAGGTCCTAAGCACCCCAAAAACCCCCTTCCCTGCAGAAAGGAGCCCAGGTGTGCAGCCAGCCAGGCACTAGGGTGAATCGGACAGAAATACATCCAGAAAATTTAGCTCGCCTTTTTCCAGTTTTTTTTACTCACTGGAAAGCAGGTGCTGATGGATCACAGCCCTTTTCCAATCCCGCATCAGACATAACCACACTCACTCAGGAGCTCAAAGCAGGTTTACGTTGATGCTCTTTTCCCCCTTTGACACATCTCCAGTGAACTCACAGACCCGAAGCTCAGCACTAGGTGTTGAGTTTAGCCTGTTCAAAGGCAACCCAAGGGGAGTAGTACAGATGTGCACCCATCTCTTTGTCAGTTCAAAATTGAGCCAAATGGGTTTTTTGGAGTGTGCAACGAGCAGCCAGGCTATGGGGCAATGGGTGACGTGAGAGGAATCTGCACAGCCATGAAAAGCTCATGGGGCACACGTGGGCTGCAAGGCAAGATGCAGTTTGAGCAGACAAAGCGCACAGCCTCCCCACTTAAAGCCCTCTCCTCCGCCACAGCCTTGGTCTGGGGGCAGATGTGGTATGGGACCTTCAAACCCCTGCCTGTGCCTAACCCACGGCTAGTTGGGCCAGGCTGACCACGCACACACAAGCACAGGTACTCACCCACCACACGCAGGGGAATGCAGACCAGCCTGCTCTCCTCGCCTGCACTTGAGGCTCCACGTCAATTAAATTTAACAGCTCCTGGGCGGGAGGTAAAAAAATAAAAATAAATAATAAATTTTTTAATGACAGTAGCAAATGATGTTTCATCTCCTGTAACAGAGCAATACCTGTGCAATCGTTTCCCATTTCTCTCTTTTTCCAGAAAGAATACTCCTTTCAGCCCAAGTGTCCAAGTGGGAGTGGGAAGCCTGGGAGCGGTGGCTCAGGTGAGTGCCGGCAGCCCGGGCTGCCCCATGGAGGGCTCTGCGAGGGAAACTGGGAGAGGCTGGGGCTTCTGTTCATACCTGGTGCTGCTGAGCCCTTGGCTGGGAAACACATCTGGGATGGGGGATACAATGCTGGGATGTGGAGAGGAGCAAATATGTGAACAAGCACCCCTGTGCCCGCAGCAGCCTGGCCCCTTTCTCCAGTCCTTCGTGGGGACAGGAGGATCAGGCCAGGACATGGCTGTGCTGGTGCGTGCACCCGTGGGTGCAAGGGCTTGGGAACGCGGCTGGTACCTGCACCCCAGTGACACCCCCCAGCTTCCCTTATCCTCTTCCTTGGGGTGGAAATGGTTTCACCCATTTCTGCCACCTCCTGGGACTGAAACACTGGCCATCTGCCGGCTGGCACAGGGTGACCCAGGCAGAGCCAGACCACAGTGCCCATCTAAGAGCCAAAGGAGCTGCTGGGGTGGTTTAACTCCTGCTAATCCCTCAGCTTTGCAGCCTCTGGTTTCCCAGGCCATGCCAAGTCAGGGATGGCTGACATGGTAGCTCCAGCCACAGCGAGGATGGGGACAAGGGACCCAATCCAGGCAGGAGCTGCATCTAAGCAGGGTGAGACCCAGGGCAGCAGGAGCCCATGGCAGTGATGCAGTGGCATCACACACCCCTGGTACCACCAGGATGCCCATGGGCCCCGTGCAGGGGCTGCTTGTCCTTCCCGCAGCCCTTACCCACGGGGTGCAGCAGCTGCTCCCCCGGGACCGTGCAGCAGTTGGTAGATGACGGGGTGTTGCAACACGCCGGGGAATAATCACGATAACTCGAGCGGTTGCCCTGGTGCCGGGCTTGGCTGTTGCAGTGGTTGCTAAAGAGAGTGGGCGTGCGGCTTCCTCTGGGGCGATCTGATTTCTCCTGGAGCATGGTTAAAGCACGCTTAGGAGAAACAGTCCTCCGTGGAGCAAGGACGCGACCTCTCCACCGGCAGCAGCAGCCGTGCAGCTCGGGCGCCTGGGCACGCACGGAGCTGTTTGCTTTGGGGGGAAAAAACGATTAGTTTGTTCCTCCGTCCTGGGAAAACATCGTCTGGCAACGAAGAGCAAAGGCTGCAAGTTTTCGGGGCGGCAAAGGGACCTTTGGGACCAGCACTGAGGAGCAGGCAAAGCCACCGGCTGCTGCCAGCCCAGCTCCAGCCCTCAGTGGGGTCCCCGTGGGGTGACGAGAGCTGTGGGGAGGGAGCGCCGGTGCGGCGGCCACCTCCACGTGACCCTCCATCCCCGCTCCTGCTGGAGAGACCCGGCAGGAGCCAAGCAACTTCGTCGGACCCAGCCAAAAAGTCACGCAGGCACCAGAGCAGCCGGGCAGAAGCAGCAGCCTCAGCCCCCGCAACCCCATGTCGTGGGACACGGGGCAGCATCTGCCCCCTGGGCTCCCCAGGGCCACGCTGCGGAAATCAGGTAAGCTCAGTGTCCCCCAGAGCCCTCCTGGGGGGTTCCTCGCGTCTCTGCCGGGTCCCTGCAGCGGGGACGGGCTGCTGAGCACCCACGGGATTAGTCAGAGCAGCAAACGTGTTTATGCACAGGTGACTTTGGACCCTGTTTTAAATTTTGTTTGAGATATTGTGTTACTTCAATACTTCAGTAGCTGTTTGAGGAGCCACCCTTCTGCTTCTGCCTTTCAAAACGGACCTGTACCTTGCAAGAAATTCCCCAAACAAACCCACGCCACGATTCAAACCTTCTTCTGGGAGAGGCATTGGGCTGGACAGGGGGCACTTGATAATGCAATCCCTGCAAATCAGCGTGGGAGGAATTTCCCTCTGTTCAACAAAATACCTTTGAGCTACCTTAAGACATTCATTAATGATTGATTGCTTCTCTGTGATAGGCAGACAAATGCACAGAGCAAATATTTGATGAGATATTAAAAGTAAGTTCGCAATTATCGAGCAAGACTGCTCAGCATCTGTCACTGCTTAACAAAACTAAACAAGCAGCTCCGCTTGCCGCTTGCAAAAGGCACAGGGCTGACGTCCCTTGGTGATTGCTAACAGAGTGGGATCCCAGCCTTGTTATCTTTGCTTATCACAGTCCAACGTAATTAAATGAAACGATTAACCAGCACACCCAATCCTGCCTGCAGGCAGAGGGGCGCTTGCTGCTGCCTGACTGTACAGGCATTTCCAGCGCTAGCCAACACAAAACAGGGCACCCATAACTTCTACACACCAGACAGCCCCAAACCTGACGGGATTTCTCTCTTCCAAACACACGTGTGAGTGCAAAGCTCAGGGGGTGATCGTGGTGACACCCAAGGTCCTTTACATTTGGGGTGATTGAAGCTGTTGGTGTGCCCGCTCTGTGCCCCCCTTATGGTGTAAATGGGGGGCTCCAGCCCCACAGGCTACAGTGCTGGCACAGCAACCAGCAAGGATGGGCAGGACCAGGGGTGCTGGCTGTACTGGGGAGACTGGCTGTACTGGTGGGGAGCACTGGCTGTACTGGTGGGGAGCTCCATCCCCAGCATGTGCTCAGCAGAGACAGGAACGCTGGTGACATGTGGCAGCGGTGCCGGGAGCTGCAGGGTTGTGTCTCCCTGCCCTGTTTTACATTTCCATTAGGGTTTTCTTTCCCCTTCTGACCCCGCAACCTCGTGGGGTTTATTCCTGAAGGTCAGGGCTGAGCAAAGGTGAGGGCACCTGGGGCGTGCGTGCCTGCTGCCCCAAGGCAGCCACCAGATAGCTGGGACCTGCTTCCCACGGTGGCCACATCGAGTTACATTCACCCTATTGCATTATAAATACCAGAATTAGCCTTGCTCAATTATTTAAAACTATAGATTAAAAGCAGACAAAGGCTCTTTGCCTCCTTTCCAGAGCACGCGTATCATTTATCGGTGATACGGTCGCCTGGTGACAAGCAAGGGGGACTGTGCCAGGTCCATTGGTATGAGATGCTGCTGAGCTGCTGGCACGACAGGAAGCAGAGGAGAGGAAAATCACGGTGAGGATGGGAACTGGTACCATCTCGCCCAGGGGGAGTAGCAATTAGCATCTGCCAATCTTTGGGCTCACCTTATTATTATTATCATTATTATTATCATCCTGATCATCATCACCATCACCATTATTATTATCATCCTCACCATCATCATTATTATTAACATCATCATCATCCATCACCAGGGCAGTAAGCCACAGCAGACATTAAGTTCATGTGAAGGAATGACAGGTATTTTGCCCCGGGCTCAGCTGCGTAACAGCGACACAGGGATTCTTTGGGGTGTTAAGGTGCATTTTGTGGGCTCAGCTGCAGGGACTCACCCATCAAAGGGCTTCCAGGCACCGGGAGCCTCCCTGTCAGGCAGCACCCACATCTGACCCACTAAAGCTGGCACCTGGGTGCCTTTCTCTGCACCAAACCTACCGACCATGCAGAAGGTGCCTTCCAAAAGCAAGTGCCCAGCTTTGAGGTCAGACCACTTGTCCTCCCAGCAGCAGATCCTCCACAACACCATTGCACACCCAAATGCTGCTCTCACCACACAAAGATTTGGGGGTCACGGAGACCAACACCAGATGCCAAGCCCAGCTATTCTGTGTTTCTAAAATACAATGAATTAACATCAGTAAAATCAGATAAATTAGCAAATGCCATCCATTCAAGAATCCAAAACAGAAGACAAACTTTCAGCTACAGTCTTTGTAGGACTTAACATACAGCATGACCTTTTCCACCACTACTCTACCATGGGAAAAGCTGTAGGGCTAAACTCCAGCTCCACTTCAGATGGTGGAAATGCACTGACTTTCCATGCTAAAATGAAGAAAAAAAAAAAGGTCATTTCTGGTTAACAGGTAGAAGTGCGTAAGGCTAGTTTAAAGATCCTATGCTCCTCCACCTCCACATTCAAACCCTTGGACTGTGTGAGGACAGGCTCCCTCCTCTCAGGCTTCCCGAGGAGGAGAGGTGTGAGGGATGCTTCCCTCATCCTGGGGAAAGGAGGGCTCCCTGTGGAGTGGATGCCATCAGGGATGTAGCCCAGAAAAGGGAAGGTTTATTCATGAATAAACCACAGGCATCCAGAAAATCAGGGGTTCTTCTCCATAGCCACAGTTTTAAGTGAACATTTCTGCCCAGGAAATGGTCCCTTGGGCCAGTGGTTTTACAAACCCAGATGGAGGGCTCTGACCCTGGGTATCCCCAGGCTTTTGCCCAGTCTCATCCTTTCTACCGAGCCCCAGGGTTTCACACAGTTACAAACAGTAACATCCCCTGAGCCTGGAACCCATTCCCAGAATGACGCCTTCTGCCTGGTTTAACATGAATGGTATTTCACAGAGGCCCATTCTCCACTCAGAAAACAATTCCTACACAATATTTTTAACAAGAGCAGTTTGGTCACCTTCCACCTCTATAGACAATCCTCCCCAGAGAGGCTTTGGTGGGAAAATCAGTTTTCAAATGACACAGGCAGCAGAAATAAAAAGACTGTGAACTTTGTTCGCTTTGTAGATTTCAGGGAAAACTAACCACTGGCCTGTGCTGCAGAAGACAGCATCAACAGCTTTGCCAGTTCAGGATGCTGAGAACCAACCGGGCATGGTTGCACAGGGCAGGGCACGCTGCGGAGCAGAGCTCCCTGGGGTGCTGAAGGAAGAGAAACTCAGCTTGCAGCTGCAGTTTTCAAATGACACAGGCAGCAGAAATAAAAAGACTGTGAACTTTGTTCGCTTTGTAGATTTCAGGGAAAACTAACCACTGGCCTGTGCTGCAGAAGACAGCATCAACAGCTTTGCCAGTTCAGGATGCCGAGAACCAGCTGGGCATGGTTGCACAGGGTAGGGCACGCTGCGGAGCAGAGCTCCTTAGGGCGCTGAAGGAAGAGAAACTCAGCTTGCAGCTGGCATGGAAGAGGGTCAAAGGATGCACAGGGGAAGGGAGAAGGGGTCACAGAGGAGCAGGAGGTCGAGGAGAGCTTGACAAAACAAAAGTCAAAGGGAAGGTGGCATTTCATATGAAAATCTGCAAAAAGCAGCCAGGCACTGATGTCCTGCTGCACCCTCCATTCTCCTATACGGTCACAAGGTGAGAGGTGCTGGGCAGGAGCCCAGACCTCCATCCCACAGCTTTCTAAAGCAAACAGCTATGGATTAATTTCCTTTAGGCATTCCATATGAAAATCTGCAAAAAGCAGCCGAGCGCTGATGTCCTGCTGCACCCTCCATTCTCCTATACGGTCACAAATTGAGAGGTGCTGGGCAGGAGCCCAGACCTCCATCCCGCAGCTTTCTAAAGCAAACAGCTATGGATTAATTTCCTTTTCAATGTCTTATTTTTCCCCTTGTGCAGAACAGCTGTAGCCAGACAGGCAGCTGTAAGCAGAGCGGCACCCCTCGGGTTACCTGCCCTTTCCAGGGCTGTTAATCCCCTTAACATTCCTGGGGATTATTTCCATCCCGACAGGACGGTGAAGCAGGCTGCCAGCCGCAGTGCCGGGAGCAGCACACGGTCCCCACACAGAAGGGCCGACAGGGCAACCCACCACGGGGAGACAAGGCACTTAATCCTAAATAAATGCTGTGTGAAGGGCATCTCCTCCGAGTGAGGGAAAACCAAAAAGCAGCAGCAGCAAAGGGAAACATAGCTCTGCTCCAGATGCTGCCTAGCCCTCATGTCCAATGCCTGTCCCTGGGCATCAGGCAGACCTCTTCCTCTTCTTCCTCATCCTCCTCCTCTCCAGGAGCAGGCTAAAACCTTTCTCCTTGCCCTGGGCTGCACAAAAGCCCCTCAGCACCCCAAGCAGCACACCCTGTTTTACACCCCCAGTAGGGTATATTTAATGCATTACTTGCAACACTCAGGTTTTCAAAGGCATTTAATGTTGCACCGAAACTGCCTGATGCCCTGTTCCCAAAAGACTGGGGCTGAGCATAATCAGAAATGGAAACAATTCAGGCCAGGATTGCAGACTCACCATTTTATCACAAGTCTCCCGGGAATTGGGGGATTTATAAACACTTCTGGCCAGTTTGAGCAGGAATTTGGGCTTCACTTTAGGTGAGAACAGACCAAGACATTAAAATGTCATTTTTCTCCCCTAGCCAGGCCCACAACCTGGGCAGGAGGGAGGTCAGTCTCTGGGCCATCTCGAAGATGCTGAATTTTCCCTGTGGGGTGTCCTAGAAAACTCATCAAGACTGGGAGCTCGTTTCACAGCTACGTTTGGGAGAGGAGATGGGTCACACGTGGAGTCCAAGCACCCGCCAGCGGCCGTGGCCTCTTCATTCAGGCAGTCTTGCTTTTTACTTACAGAAAAGTTGCTCGGAAATGTACTTTTCCTAGAGAGCCTCAGGCTTCCAGAAACGAGGGAAGGGAAAATATTTAAAAGCAAGCAAAAGAGTGAGTGTGTTGAAGCAAACACAGCTACTTTTTATAAGCAACACACCAAAGCAGATCCATTTAAAAGGTCAGGCTGTCTTTCTGTGTACGGCAGAGGGTATTAAAATGCACATGTATTTTTTTGTTTATACCTTGCCAAGAACAATATAAAAATGTCTCACACCTTTTGCTGATTTATGATGGTGGCCAAAGAGGTGCCAGAGCAGAGCCTTGTTCATTGATCTATGGCTGAATCATGCAAAAACAGACATCCTGCTGTAAATCCATTGCAGAGACCTGGCTTGATTTACACCTCCAGCACTATAAATAATGACAAAAAGCAGCCTGATAGCAGTCCGTCTCCCTTACACAGACATGAATTACATCAGGTCTTGAAGATGATAGATCTACTCCACAAGAAATATTTTGCACTGGGTCCCTATCTGCCAACCTGCAGGAGAAAGGATGCCCTGTCCTTACTCCCAGCATAACTCCAAGCTGTGCTTCAGGCTCACCAATGTTTTAATATTCTCATTTTTCTTTTTCTGCTCAATGCAAATAAAGACATCCCTTTAATTGCTCCAGACTAAGGTCTTCTGAAAGTTTAAAGCCCTGTTCTTGTAGTGAGGTTCAAGGCTCTTTCTAGTCCCGAACAAAGACAAGGTCAGGGCTTTGACTTTGTCCCAGGGGCAGCAGTAGGGACACCCACTGGCAGCCAAACCCTAGAGGTCCGTGGCTGCACACCCCTAGGCACTTCCAGCACAGTGAAAACCAAGCTCAGAGCTACCTGCTGTGTCCTGCTCCCCCCTGTCAGTATTGTTCAGGCAAATTAGACTCATTGTGAGGACTTTTACATGCTGATTTAACAGCCTCCTGGCCAGAAATGCTTCCAGCTGGTTTCAATGCCTCCCACTCTTTCCTTCCCAGTATTTTCTCCATTTCTACTAGTTTCAAGGAAAAGTTCCCCATCTGTCTTCAGCAAATAGGTTGATAAATTGCTGCTTCTTTGCAAGCCTCAGCCATGCAACATTAGATTGCTGCAGTCTGGAAATAACCACATTAGCCAATTCAAAACCTCCACTCCCGGGGTCTGGGTACTGGAGGTAGGGAAGAAGGGACTCCCACTCCTGAGATGCAAAAGGAAACCCATACATCATGGAGGCAGGGGAAAAACAGTACTTTATAAGTAAAAGTGCTGCATCAGTGCCTCAAGAGCTAGTACAGCTTAGCAGCAGGGCCTGAGAGCTACTCGGCACAGAAAAAAAAGCACCAAAGTCACTAAAGTTACAGCCATTTACAGCATCCAGGTTGGTCCTTCAGGCTTGGCTGGCCGCGTAATCCTTCCACACTTGCTGCTCGCTGCATTATCCCCTAGCAGAACACAACAGGTGGATTTAAAATGGACAAATCCAAGATGGATACGCCCCATTCCTTCTCCTGTCGTGCGGCAGGATTTGGTACCCAGCACACAAGGAAATGCAGGAATCTCTCTGTCCAGGATGGGACAGCTCTGATCTAAGGGACAGCATAGGAATGGTGGGAAACAGGCGACAGGATGACACAGCGACACTGAGGCTAGTCTGATAGTGCAGCTGTCCAAAAACAGTGTTTTCATGAAAAATACCTGGCATTTTATTTAAGTTACTCCATGGAGAGACGCTTTTTGTTTGAAGAATGAAGACATTGCTTTGTCATTTGAAATAGGAGCCCATCCATTTAATTCACACCAAAACAAGCTTCTGGTTTTTTATCCTTCTTCCTTGTCTTTTGTCTGCCTCTTTTCCTGTGACAAGAAGACCAAAAAAGGGGAAGAAGCAGAAGAAAAAAATTAAAGCAATTTCACCTCAGTGAAAAACTGATGTGTTTTCTCATTGTTCAAAACCCAGCTTTCATCTAACAAAAATTAGCCATGAAATTGTGCTGCCTTAACCCTTGGCTGTTCTTCAGTCCCTGCATCTCTCTGGAAGGCAGTGCTGAGCCCCCAGTTTCAGCCTGTGGAGTCCAGCCCTGCAGGGGTTTGAGTCAGCCTGGCACTTGCCATCAAACATCAAACCACGCACCTTCCCCCTTCTGCCAGCAGTGATGTATGATCCTAGAGGAAAATAATTTGATACAAGAAATCACTGGTTCCAGCTTCCAAGCACCCTTTAAATATGTACCGAACTATTCACCCCAATTACACTCATGTAATGGGCTCTGATTTGTTTTCCTTTGTTCCCAAAGCAGTAGGGCCATGGCCACATTAACATTCAATGAGAAGTTTTTGATATTGAATCATTTCTTCAGCAGTATTATTCTTTACACAATTCTGTTTGATTGCAATCCACTTTACGTTTGATAAGTACTTACTGACTATGAAAGAATGACCTAGCCTGCTTTCTCTTGCCTTTTTCTATTGATTTCTCTTTTAAAAGGGCTTTATTCCTTTTATACATGAGATTGCAATAAGAGAGAGAGGCAACATTACTGAACAACTGTTTTCCTTGCTGCTCCACCAACTCATATAACTTCACCACCAGGCCCCCAAAAACATTATAATAACGAGACACTTACAGACATGGAGCTGCCTACACCCTTTTCCTGGAACTTTTTGTTCTTACTGGTAAACTTCCAAATTGTTTGAGTGAATAGTCAGGAATAAATTGCTCTTTCTGAGCTCCCGATTAGACCGTACACTGAATAATTGTAGGCAGCCCCACTGTGCTCCGCATTTAAAGACACAGCCCACCACATGCAGTTTGTCTTAGAACTTGTGCTTTGCACTCACTTTGTATAGGGTTTTTTTGTGAAGGCGAGCTAGTACAGCTTAGCAGCAGGGCCTGAGAGCTACTCGGCACAGAAAAAAAAGCACCAAAGTCACTAAAGTTACAGCCATTTACAGCATCCAGGTTGGTCCTTCAGGCTTGGCTGGCCGCGTAATCCTTCCACACTTGCTGCTCGCTGCATTATCCCCTAGCAGAACACAACAGGTGGATTTAAAATGGACAAATCCAAGATGGATACGCCCCATTCCTTCTCCTGTCGTGCGGCAGGATTTGGTACCCAGCACACAAGGAAATGCAGGAATCTCTCTGTCCAGGATGGGACAGCTCTGATCTAAGGGACAGCATAGGAATGGTGGGAAACAGGCGACAGGATGACACAGCGACACTGAGGCTAGTCTGATAGTGCAGCTGTCCAAAAACAGTGTTTTCATGAAAAATACCTGGCATTTTATTTAAGTTACTCCATGGAGAGACGCTTTTTGTTTGAAGAATGAAGACATTGCTTTGTCATTTGAAATAGGAGCCCATCCATTTAATTCACACCAAAACAAGCTTCTGGTTTTTTATCCTTCTTCCTTGTCTTTTGTCTGCCTCTTTTCCTGTGACAAGAAGACCAAAAAAGGGGAAGAAGCAGAAGAAAAAAATTAAAGCAATTTCACCTCAGTGAAAAACTGATGTGTTTTCTCATTGTTCAAAACCCAGCTTTCATCTAACAAAAATTAGCCATGAAATTGTGCTGCCTTAACCCTTGGCTGTTCTTCAGTCCCTGCATCTCTCTGGAAGGCAGTGCTGAGCCCCCAGTTTCAGCCTGTGGAGTCCAGCCCTGCAGGGGTTTGAGTCAGCCTGGCACTTGCCATCAAACATCAAACCACGCACCTTCCCCCTTCTGCCAGCAGTGATGTATGATCCTAGAGGAAAATAATTTGATACAAGAAATCACTGGTTCCAGCTTCCAAGCACCCTTTAAATATGTACCGAACTATTCACCCCAATTACACTCATGTAATGGGCTCTGATTTGTTTTCCTTTGTTCCCAAAGCAGTAGGGCCATGGCCACATTAACATTCAATGAGAAGTTTTTGATATTGAATCATTTCTTCAGCAGTATTATTCTTTACACAATTCTGTTTGATTGCAATCCACTTTACGTTTGATAAGTACTTACTGACTATGAAAGAATGACCTAGCCTGCTTTCTCTTGCCTTTTTCTATTGATTTCTCTTTTAAAAGGGCTTTATTCCTTTTATACATGAGATTGCAATAAGAGAGAGAGGCAACATTACTGAACAACTGTTTTCCTTGCTGCTCCACCAACTCATATAACTTCACCACCAGGCCCCCAAAAACATTATAATAACGAGACACTTACAGACATGGAGCTGCCTACACCCTTTTCCTGGAACTTTTTGTTCTTACTGGTAAACTTCCAAATTGTTTGAGTGAATAGTCAGGAATAAATTGCTCTTTCTGAGCTCCCGATTAGACCGTACACTGAATAATTGTAGGCAGCCCCACTGTGCTCCGCATTTAAAGACACAGCCCACCACATGCAGTTTGTCTTAGAACTTGTGCTTTGCACTCACTTTGTATAGGGTTTTTTTGTGAAGGCGAAATGTAGAGCACTTGGAACATACTGACAGTGAACATGCTCCGTGGTTTGCCTGAAATCCAAGCTGCCATTACTTCCAAAACAGTGGGCTCTTGTTCTTACACCCAGAACATACAAATTATTACAGCACGACCACATACGGCATGGGCAAACTATGCTTTTCTTGGCGCTGGGCTCGATCCTGATTATTAGCCTGCAGGATATCGGCAAAATCCTTGCTTGACAAGAGGTTTCAGATACAGCAGCACTTCCACAGGCCCGTGTTTCGGAAGCCCCTCAAGCCCCACATCATCCCCTGGTGCCAAGGGACCGACGGCCTCACCCAGGACAACCAAAGCAGCAGCTCAGCACAGCCCACATCCATGGCTGCTTCCCGTTTTAGTTAGACCTATCTTGCATTAATTAATCCTTGGCACTAAATGCTGCAGCCACTGAAGCAAGTGGCTGGCAAGTAATTTCAGTGATCTAATTAATATGTGTCTCATCAACAACGCAAAGGGAATATTCTTTAAAACCTCTAAAAAACCCGCACCAGCACATGGAAGCACGTGCACACAGACACTGACACGGGTGTGGAGCACCATCCCTTCTCCTCTGCCTTGTCCTGGGGAGGAGAGCTCCAGCGGGTTCCCACACCACAGTGGGGTGAGATTTCTGATGCCAGTACCTCTCTTTTCTTCCAGCATCGATGTACACAGAAATACAGCGGGAACGACCAGACAGTGGGAATATCCTGACTCACCCAGACTACATAGATGGAAACCCAGACCTCATCAAACCTAAAAAACTCCTAAATCCTGTAAAGGCCTCGAAGAGCCACCAAGAGCTGCACAGAGAGCTGCTGATGAACCACAAAAGGTAAGAGGAGGTTGCAGCCTGCACTTGAAAACACCGTGTAAAACTTGCTGTAGTCCCTTCCTCTTTCTCTACGGTTTCTTCTAAAACAAAAGCAGAATGCAAAGCCCACTGCTCTGTGGGCAAAAGGGCTGCTAGCACTTTTTGGAGCTGCTTGCTATTTCCACCCACCTCAAGCCACAAGTGCTGGAAGACGTGGGGCATCCCTACAGCCCCCTTCTCAGTGTCCCGCGTATGTTTTTAACCTGTTCCTGGTTTTCCTACCTTCATCACTGGCTTCCCAAATCCCCAGCAATGTGCAGCCTTCCCTTGTGCTTTAAGGTCAATCCAGAGGCAATTAAGAGCTGCAGGCTGGATGGAGTCATTGAAAGCTGGGATAGCATCAGTGTGAGATCTTCTATACAAGGAAAAGGCTGATCCCTGTCTCCTTAGAAATCAAATGAGTAAAAATAGGCTAGAATTCCTGATTTCCTATCCCATCACCTCAATTTAACTGTTTGGAGTGCAGATACAACATCAGGATAATGACACCAAGGACTGAGAATCTATAACCTCATCATTCCTTTGCCACAACTGTCTGAACATTAGTGCAATAAGAGCATATTCGGTTCAGAGCCTTTTTAGCACAGCAAGAAATCTGCTGGCTTTATATTGACATTTTTCTGAATACCCTGAAATATTCTGACGTGATATCACTTTGACCATCTAATTAAAAGGAGCACAGCCTCTGTTCAAAAGGACCACAGTCATTATGAGAACCAGACACATATTAATTCGGCAAACAATCAAGCCTGCCAGCAGGGTGCATTAATCAATGCTGGCACTTGCTGGGCTTGGGTTTGATTTGATTTTCACAGATTCATAAAAATTACAGGGACCATGCCCAGGCCACTCTCCAGCATTGAGGTGGAGGTAACTATACCAGCCAGATATTTTTAAATCTGGCTTGAGAATGACCACATCCTGCCTAGTGATACCGCTCAGTTTAAAGGCTCACCCACCAGCACTGCCTTTGATCTCACAGAATGTTATTCCAGTCTAACCAGGATGGACCAAAGCATCAAGAAATTCCTGCAACAGACGTAGTGGAGATGAATGGTGGCAGACAGGGTACAGACCCCACAGCACCAGGCTGACCTGAACTTCAAGCTGGCAAATACAAAGTGCATCATCCCTTTGTACTTGAGTCCTATGCCTGCCACCATGATATATCCACGTGTGCCATCAGATGCTGGCAGGAGGCAGCCCCATCGCAGCCATCCTGCCTCTCCTGACCCCTCTCATTTTAGTCCTGTACATCTCAGGCATCTATTTAAACCTGCTTCAGCTCTGGCCTCCCAAATATTTTTTTCAGCAAATATGGGAAACAAGCTCTACTTCAAACAATAATCCAACATTTCTGGCTTCTTGTCACTCTTGGATCCACCAGCTTTGCTTCCTGATACACGTTACTTTTAGGGTGAGAGAGGGGAGAAGGGAAGAGAGAAGGATCTATGACTTGCTCCTGTTTCTGTTTTGTTGTTGGTTTTTCCCCTTAAGCAGCAGGGAGAAGCAACTCAAATCAGCAGCTTGTGCAACAAAACCCTTATCTTAGTCAACACCTCTGGGTACTAACAACACAGGCTGATTAAATCAAAGAGTAGTAACAAATCCACAGGCAACATTGCAAGCTGCGTCTCCAGCAAGCCAAGGCAGGTTTTGCCTCTCAAGCCTTGGGAAAAACATCTCTGTGACATCTGAGTTCTTCCTGACTTGAAAAAACATCATGAAAGCTCTGGGGGCAATACTGCAGCTACCTTCACTGATGCTGCCATGAACTTTGTTCCACCATAAAGCAAAAAAAACAGAAATGACAACAGGAAGCATCATTAAAAATGGTACTGGAAGGATGCAGGATCAGCTGCAGAGGGTAAATCTTAGTGTCTACATTCAGGCATGGCAATATTCGAAGTCTTAGATTTCTCAAATTTGTTTGGAGAACTTCTTTCATCTCTTTACCAAGTATTTATGCCTTGCCTGCATGTCCTCTCTATGTCTCCTTTCCCGTGATCCCACCTGTCACAGAACAGGGCTTGGAGCAGCCCCGCTTATCTGAGATGCTTTGGGCGGCCAGACACCTGTGCCACCAGCAAATGCTCTGGCTTCCAGGAGAAAAGGACATTTCATTTTGTCCTCTTGACCCAAACTCTACATGTCAACAGGGGGATCGCTAGCCCTCAGCTCTGCAGCAAAGCTGGGATGCAACAGGGAGGAAAGGCACTGCCAGGACAATTATTGCAGATCAATGACTACCCCTGCTGGTGGAAAAAAAATCGTCATTATTTAAAAAACCCTCACTGCTGCTGAAGCCACCACTGACATAATTAAAACTAGTAACAACTCCCATTTCCATACCCGACCCAGAAAGCTGTAGCACCTCAGTATAATGGGATTAGCAAAACTTCCAGTGCTACAAGCCCCGGACACAGACAGTAAAAACACCGTGCCCACCTGAGGCAGGCACTCTGAGGTACTAAGGTGCTCCCAGTAACACCCTCAAAGCCTTGTGGATGGATTTGTGGACCAGGACTGGCTTGTAGACCAGGTCTCCCATGTTTCCATTTAGGACCGAGAAGAGTTTTGGGGTTGCTGGGCTGGCAGGGGTTACACCCCAGGTTGTAGATGCTCCAGCGCTGATTTATCTGCTTTTTATCCACAGGGGCTTGGGAGTGGAGAGCAAGCCAGAGCTGCAGCGGGTACTCGAGCACCGACGGCGAAACCAGCTCATCAGACAGAAGAAGGAGGAGGAAGAGGCAAAGAAATTGCAATCTCCTTTTGAAAAAGAGCTATTAAAGAGGCACCAGAGGCTGGATCAGGTAGAACTGAGTTTTCAGTCATCCTCATCTTATCCTAACCAATCCACACTGACCACAGGGAAGATGGGTGGGCTGAGGCTCAACCCAAGGTTTAGTGTTGCTACCCTTCCATAAAACAGAACCCACAGCACATCCTTCACTGCCGCCCTGGGCAGCTGCAGCACCCTCATACTCACAGTGGCATCCACCTTGTTTGTACTACCTTGCCCACGCACCACTGGCCCTGAGTCTCCTCCGGGTCCCATATGGTGTCCTTGGGGCGTGCTTTCCAGTTCAAAGCACCCCAAATAGCATGGGGGCTGTTGCAGCACCCACCACAGGGGTACTCAGGACCCTGGGGTGCAGGGTGGGAGACTGAAGAAGTGCTGGGAGTTGCAAACCCTGCTGTAATCACACCCAAGCTGCTTTGCGGAGCAGTTCCTGGCATGTACTCTGGCCAAAAATATACCTGGGGAGAGCAATATTCTGTGTGGGCACTTGTCAGCAGCGTAGCCATGCCCCAGGTGCTCTTGTGCCTGCCATCTTACCCAAACCAGTGCAAGAAGCAAGCAGGCTTGTTGCCACTGAAAATAAAGTCATTCCCTGTCCTACTTGCCAGTGTTTGCACTGCGAATGGATGAAACTAGTTTATTTAATTAATGACACAGCAGCTACCTTGCAATAATATCAGCCAGGCCAATATCACCTGAAAATCAAAGCCCAGCACTCTCAGAGAAGAACCAGGATATGAAACAAGGTGGCTCAGGGACAGATCCATAAAGATTTTGCATATAAAAGTGAGGCAGTAGAATGACTTACCCTCCCCCTCCCTCAGACACTAACCTAATGCTGAGAGCTTTTCCCAGGATCAGGAGCCTTCTTTGTTGAGAAGGATTCAAACCTCCTCCTTCCTCCATGCCAGGTCTGAATTGAAGCACTCCCCCCACTTTTCTGCTGGAGATGGTGCTCCCTGGAGTAAAAAAAAAATAATGTTTCAGTTGCCAGAAAAAGAGACTTGGGGTGAACATGGCTCTGGTGTAATGCTTTGGAAAAAGAGAGCACCGACACACGCATTACACACTCATTCATCTTTGGGCAATAATAACTGGACGCCCAGCTATAACAAAGTGCACTGTTTTAATGTAGCCAATGCAATCCCGTCCTTTAGCATGCAGAGATAACAGTGACTCTTCTTTCTTACAGTTGGAGAAAGAGCAGGAGAAGCAGGAAGACCATGCACCAGAATTCATTAAAGTCAAGGAAAACCTGAGGAGAACATCGACGGTGACTGGGGATGAGAAAGCAGCATAGCTTCCACCAAAACTCAACAGGGATCCTACCACGGCCGGCGCTAACACATACACGCTGACATCTCTGTACATGGTGGACATTCACAGCCACATCGTTGGGGCTACTTACAGTTATTAACACTTGCTCCAGTAAAAGGCACAAAAAAGGTTTTCCCAGCCCAGGAAGGTATCCCTGCGGAAAAGGTGCAGCATTCACTGAAGAAGTACTCCCGTGAGGAGATGCAGAGAGTAATGATGTTATTTTCCCCCCAGATTGTGGGTGCACACCAGCTAACTCTTGGTTAACCCTTGAGACACAGCAACAATTTAAGCCAGGGAAGTCTGAGGAGAGATGGTTTGGGGGACCCCTGCTCACCGGGCACAGGGTGACAGGAGAGCAGCTGCAGCTCTGGGGAACCTCCTGGAAACCTGACATGGTATCTAAAAGGGACAATCTATATATTACTGAGAATGGCCCAGGTGACCATAACGGCTTTCCCAAGGGTCACTGGTATTGCACCAGTGTGTGAGTCAAGCCTCGCTAAGGCTGTGTGTCCCAGCAGCACACCCATACTATTAGAAAAATCAACCTCTGGGTGCCCACACCAGTGTAGCACAGGCAGGTGCAACTGTTCCTCACAAGCACCTTTAAACTGCATTTGAAACCTGTTTGAAAATAGCTATTTAGGCAGTTTGATGCCCAGGCAGAAGATACATTGGACCATCCCATCAATACCCCAAGTGGGAGGCAAGTGCTCCCTGCAGAAAGCAAAGGCTGGGTGTTTCCAGTGTGAGCGTTCATGGAAGCGTGCAGTGGCCAGGCAGCAGATCCCTGTGGATGTAGCAGATAAACTGCTTCTTGCCCTCGGACTACTGAACTTCAGCCCCTCACCCAGCAGCTGGACATGGGCTACCACAGGGACCCACAAAAACGTCCTCTGGTTGAGAGGTGATAATGTGGCAATGTCATACCGGTGTAAGGCCACTGTCCTATTCACGCTGCACGTAGGTGACACCTGTAGGCACCAGGGGCAACGGGACATCTAGGTACTGATGTAAGACTATTTGTGAGTGCTTCTCATTCCTTTCTCCAGAGGTCAGAACTGCCTCATTTCAGTTGCCACCTTGCAAAGCTAAAAATCTTCTTGCTGCTGGTATAGCAAAGCAGCACCACATGCATTTGGAGTACCTATGGACAGAGCATACCACATTAACGGGCACCCACACCCTGAGGTGTCTGCATCTAGAGCTAAAATTGCACCTTCAGGAAGATCTCAGCTTCTTGGTTCTCACATCAGCCCTGACACAAAGCCTAAACAGTTTAACTCACCAACTGCCTTTGAACACTGGATCTTGAATGGCAAGCCTCAATGGACCTAGTCAGCTGGGAAGGTAATACCTGATTAAATAATATTTACTATCCACATCTTCAGTGGATCCATACATAAATTAAGGGAAACTGGGCATTTATCACACACATATTTATTAAAAAGTTACTAACCCATTCCTTAATCTCTCTCGTCCAGTGGGGTGTTTCATTTCAGAGGGCTGTTGCTCAACCTGGCAACTTGAGTAAAACATCTAAACCACATCGTGTGTCAAGAGCAGTGACACAGGTACAGGGCTTCCATAAGAGACTGGACTATAAAAGCCCTTAACTCAGTTTCAGTCCCTGAGCACCTCATCTCCTAGTACTGTCTCTGCAGTAGTTTTTAAGCCCCTTGCTCATCATGCTTATTCTAAAACAAGTTTTTATTTCAGAAATCCAGCGCATATGGTCACTATGCATCAAACAAGGTCTGAAAGGTTCTATTATGTCCTCTCCAACCATGAAACTTTTCATATAGGTTATGATTAAAACCATGAGGAAGAAGCAGCATCGACCATTTTTTCAGGAGAGGAAAAAAAAAGCCAAATTTCTCCAAGAAAAAAAGGTGTTGCTAAGGATGGTTGTACACAACTGTAAAGAAAGCTGTATGATACCCCACAGATAACATTGGTTTAAATAACAAGCCAGAATTACTGTGCTGGGGTTTTGTGAAGAGTTATGGCACAGATTAAGTAACCTTGATCAAAGAGCTCAAAAAAATTCAGCAAATTAATTTGTAATTTTGCCACAGATGGAAATGCACTCCAGGAGAGGCAATCTGTCGCTCCATATGCACCAGTGAAATCAGTGTTATCAGCTCACCCAGGCTGGGACGGGGGCATTTATGCAAGTCCTTGGGTGGGAGCCATCCAGTAAGGTCTGGGTAAGCCCAGTGCTCAGATCAGCAATGAAAAGGTTGAAAATATTTTTCTTTGGTCTTCTTGAGTATGAGAACATCATCTGGAAAAAAAACCCAACAAAACACCACAAATCAAGGTGTCTCCCTTTGATGTGGTATCCACCAAGCACAGAAGGGGACTGTACTCCAACGCAGTCTGGGATTGCTAGGGGGCATCTGGGTCATTTTCAGTGGGTGTCCAGAAGGGAAAGGGAGGGCCAGGTCATCCTGTCCTAACTCAGGCTGAGCCAACAGGGCCACAAGAAACCCTTCCAGTGGTGGAGAGATAGCAGAAAGCCCTGACCCCACTGCCCAGAGGGACTCTGCGAGCTGTGAGCCAGGACCCAGCCACATGTCCACACACCAACCCACCAAACTGGCCACCACCCACCAGCACTGGGAGCTCCTGTGGGGCCAGGACAGGGTACAGCAGCCCCACGGTGTACTGCGGAGCACACAGCACTTTGTCCCCAGCGAGAGCTGCAGGGTCCAGCCCTTCCTGATGGCACGTGGGAAATGATGCTTTTGCTGTTCATACCTTGGCTTAAAACCCCACAGCATTTTCCAGCACAGCTCTTCTCACCCCTGCCAACCGGTAACCGCCTCCCTGGCCGGCATCAGACCCGGAGCCGGCACAACCTTCACCAATGCTCTTGGGCTTCACGGTGGAACAGCGTAGAGGTGGCACCTGAAAAAACAGCAATGTAGACATCACCAGGAAGATTTTGGGTTGTCTTTGTGTCTCTTTTTCTTATATATAAATTCCTCCCGGTGCCCCTAAAACACATTCCTGAATAAATGTGGTGTAGCCAGAAAATACAGATTATCCTTGTATTGATGGAAGACAATTTTTTGCACTGTGTATGTTGCCTATATAGTATATAGTCTATATTCTGTGTTGGTGTTTATACATTTATATAAAAGTATATGTCATGCAACTCAACTTCATTAACTCACTCTGTTTAACGTGGACACTTCTGAAGAAATAAACTTAAAGACGATTGTATATTTTGTTCTTTTCCACAAGGATCTGAAAAAGCTCTGATGATGCAAGCAGACAACAGCCAAATAAACTGAATGAACATAAAAATCAGTGAGGTCTGACAGCAACTGCTTTGTTAGTGCTGCGTTAACTTACTCATCAACGAGCTGTTTTCATCATCTGCACCCAACGCTGCATCCACTGCTTCTCCCTGGACTTCATCACCATCTGCTGAAAGTTGAAGGGCACAAAAATTGTGGAACCAGGCTTTGTGCACTGAAACTTCCCATATGTTTGATTTCTAACTGGCCACAGATGCCCACCTGCCTGGTAGGGTAAGACTCACAAGGCCAAGGAAACACATTGCCCTTGGATTTAATTTAAAAACTCGGTTTTGAACTGAAAGGTGATCCTCACTAGTGAGCTCACTTTGTTATTTTTAAACATTTTTAAAGTGTTTTAGCAGCAACCAAAGACCATAGATTAAATAGATAAGAAAAAGAGAGGATGCTTCACACGTGCAGGTCACACACACCTCGCTCCCTGGGAGCCAGGAGTGAAACCGAATGCAGCAAAGCAAACGAAAAGGACTTCTCTGTCTCATTAGTGACATCCTTAATGGCAGAGATACCAACTCCCCACTCAGAAGGCAGCAGAGGTGGTGCCTGGACACCAGATATCTGCTGGGGTTGCCACACTGGGAGGCACACAGCTTCTCTGACCCTGCACACCCTATGGCGCTGGCGTGGGCAGTCAGCTCATCATTAGGGATGACTAAACCTGTTCTTCAGGTCAGGCTTCCAAAACATCTTCCCACCTTGTGGCCACTTACATAATAATAGCTGAAAAGTTCTCCTACCATGGCAGGTTGCGTACTTCATTTCCTGGCACAAACCGCGCAATGAGAAACATCTTCACCAGAGAGCGTGGCCTTTGGTGAGACACCAGACCAGGGGACCGGCCAGGACTTTGGAAGATGCTTTGCCCCATGCCTGGAAGTGTTCAAGGCCAGGCTGGATGTGGCCTTGAGCAACCTGCTCTAGTGGGAGGTGTCCCTGCCCATGGCAGGGGGGTTGGAACTAGATGATCTTTGAGGTCCTTTCCAACCCTAACCATTCTATGATTCTATGATTCTATGCTTTATCAACCTCTCACAGCCCCAAGCAGCGAGGTTTCAGTGGGCTATGCCCCAAGACTGCTTACAGTAAACACACACCTCCTTTCATGCACAAATGTCAAAGGCAGGCCTTCATATTGTGACAGTTCTTCTTCTATGGAAGAGAGTAACAATCAATCATTTCTGTTCTTTAAAGATACAACACCCTTTAGCTATGCACAAACTGCTCCGTTGCCTGGATTTTCTTACCGCCAGAGTTTTCAATACCAGATTTGCAATTTATCCAGGTCATGCTGAGATCTTTCCCACACACTCGCTCCTGAAGTGCCCCTAGATAGTTTGCTGCAGTGGAATTTCCAATCAGAGAACCCATATATTTTACTGCCTAATTAATTTCTCATTACTGCCTCAGAAATGGCAAGTTCTGTTTTTCTTACCCAAGCTAGTGGTATCCTCCGACTGGCCCTGGCTGAACACCCCTTCTCAGGAACTCTCCTCTGCCTATCCTGGGTATTTCTATATGCTTCAATCATTTCCCAAAATTATCTAGAACTGTCACAGACTGACCACTTTTGCGTGGATTAAAGCATCATATGAAACCTGTGAGTGAGACAAGTTAGCAGAGATACCTGGGCTTATGGAAAAGGGGAAAAATGCAAAATTATCAGAATATAATAATCAGCAAACTTATCAGCAACATAATAATCATGGCGTGTTCCAACTCACCGCGACCAGGTGCTCTTGAGGATTATGTTGATTCCCACAATATTCTATGAGCTCCCTGGGCACCCTGTGGGCACTGATGTAGCTGGAGAGAGGGGGAATTTGCCAGCTCCTGCTCACTAGACAGCAGGACAGACTGCAGTGAGGGCGGATTCACAACTGCCAGAGAGGAAGGCACCATGTAACCTGTGACAACCTCCCTCTGACCCCAGCAAACCTCCCTCTGACCCCCAGCACAACCCAGCCTGCGAGGGCACATCCCCGGTCTCCCCGCTTGCACCCCAAACTGCGGGAAGAGCTGAGGACAGTGCCGTACCGGAGCCAAGCACACAGTGACCAAGCTGGGGAAACCTTGAGTGAGTTCAGTTCACGAGCAGTGAGAGCCCATGGGGTGCTCTCCTCCATCCTGAACAGACTAACAAAAATAAATAAATAAATAAAGAATTACGACTACTAGGAGAAGGACAGGGTGTCACTTTGGTGACAGAGCTGGAAGCGCAGCCTCCACCGCACAAATAGCCCAAAGTGAGATCATAAAAATATAATTTTTTTATTTTTTTTTTTTAAATGCAGAGGCTCCAGCCCTTTCAGCAGTGGGAGCTGCAGGATTTTACGCCTCGCAGGCTCCCAGGCCGCTGCCGGCAGAGGTCAGCTCGGGCTCGCCGCCGCGCACACGCAGAAACACCCACGGCCGGGTCGAGCTCCGTTGGCCACGGGGACAAGGTCCCTGCCGTGGGGACGCCGGGAGGGTGGCTCGGGCAGGTGGGCAGCGGGCAGGCGGCTCCCCGAAGGACGTGCGGGACAAGGTACGTGGGGGTTTGGTTTGACTGTAGCAGAGAGAGACACAGATTTTTCTTACACGGCCTCACGGAAGAGGGAGCCGTCGGCAGAGCCGTGACGGAGCTCCAGCCCCAGCACGGAGCTTCCTGGGACGGCTCAAGGGCAGGTCGGGGTTACTTGTCCGGTTTGGTGTACTCCACACGCTGCTTTGAGGCTTTTCTCCCTCCCAGGACAATAGGACGCCTTGAATTAAAGGCCTGAATAGCAGAAAAGTGGGAATTAAAAACATCTTTGCAAGTCTTGCCAGGGTTTAAATTTTCATAATGTTAAAAATAGTTCAGGAACGCAAGGGGGAAAAATCTGCTTTTTTTCCTCCCTACACATCACCTTTTTTATTAACATTGCTGCTGCAAATCCTGCCAACAGGGGAATTACAAGGTTAGGAGTTAATGTAAAGCCGAGCCCCCTGGGAAGCAAGACAGCGTGGCCAGAGCTGCCAGCGTCTGTAACCACTGGTCCAGAAGGCTACTAGCCTGTGGGCTAATCAGCACCAGCAGCACTTGGCACGGGGAGGGGAACAGGCCAGGGCCAGAAACTCCCTTAAACATTAACACATAGTTGTGTGATAGTCTGGCAGTAACTTCTCATAAACCACTGGGGACAGACTGTGACAGAAAAAGATTTTATGTTTAAAAAAAACAACAACAAAAAAAACCAAGCATAAAAGCTGTATTTTGAGCTCTTAAAAGTGCCCTAAATTTTCATTGCCCATATCATTGCAAGGAGGACAAGACAGTGCCTCATTATTCATGCAACCCCTGTTTGTTTATTTCTTTTAAAACTAACATGGAAACGTGCCTAGTTGTGTACAAAGTTCACTCCTACACCTACTTTGCTGAGAGCCGTGCCCTGCAATAGCTGTGCCGGCAGCGCAGGGAGCCATGCCCGGGGCTGCCCGCGCAGGTATAACATCTTGGCCAACCTACTGAAACCTCTCCTTGCTGCTCCCAACACCTTCATCAACCGCCCACCCTTGCAGGGTGCCAGCGCCTGACGAGCCCCATCCCTTCCCAGAGCGGCTCAGCCTCCAGGATGGCTCTGCTGGAGACGGGCAAGTACTCGCAGGGCTCGGTCCCCGGCAGCGTGAATCCCGACCTCGCCAACGAGAGGCAAACGGCTTCCTTCAGCGTGGAGAAACTCACCGCCTGGCTGGACGGCGGCGCGGAGCAGACTCGGCTACGGAGGGCGGTGGGTGAGTGAGACGCACGGGGTTCCTGGCTGCGGGCTGGTACGGGGCATGGCTTCATCCCCACGGCTTCTGCTCCTCCTCTGCATGGTGGGGTTTGTGCTCCCAGGTATCTGCTTATCACCCCTCTCTTAAAAAAGTGGGAGCGTGGAGTCCCTGTTAGTGTAAATCAACACGACTCCTCCGCAGCCACTCCCGCCGTCTGAATCCCTGCTCCCATCCCCACTACCTCTGGCAAGACTGGTTAAACTGGAATACAGGGGCTGAGGGTCACACGGGTGGGCATCTCTGTACAAGGGGGATGCGGGCATCTCCGTGTGAGGGGGACACAGATGGGGGCTACACGCCATGCGCCAACCCCAGCCAACAACACACACACCCTCCCCCGACACATCAGGCTCATCCAGGTGGGGAATTCCTCCTGTGGGTTGGCTCCACCAGGCTGAGCTGCCCTCACTTGTGATGGGCGTGCCGAAAAATGAGTGTGTGCTCAGAAGGAACAGAGGGAAAAAAAAAAAAAAAAAAAAAACTTTTTTTGTCTCTGTAACTACCTCCATATATTCCATATATAAGGGCACCCCATATATAGAGGTATATATCATACATACCCCTATCAAATGAAAATGGCAGAGGCCACTGGGATGGTACACTTCATGGTGAAACTGGAGTTCAGTAAAACCTTGAAAGCGAACGGACTCAAAGGTTTCAGGGCAAAAAAAGGGGACAGTGGGAGCGCTCAGGCTGACACAGAGAGAGCAAACCCAAGAGTCATGTTGCGACACCACGAAGGGCTGATAAAACCCTGAGTTGAAGCACAGGTGTCCAGTGGGACACCCGGCACCTCCGGCCATTGGCCACCTTCTGGGCACAACCCAGGTAACGGCAGCTCCTGCAGCCATCACAGCACAGGAAGAGCAATTAGAGACAAGAGGCATTATCTATCTGAGGCACAAAGTCACTCCAACGCCCCAAGCAGGGATGGTACCTTACCTTGCAGGGTCATTATTTCTACTCAACAGACGCCTCTCTCAGCCCCACCGGCTTCCCCTCCCCTCCTCCTTCTCCAAACCCATTGCTTTCCAGAGTTAGGCATGACAGCCATCAGAGCCAGCACTGGCAAAACAAAATCTGCCCGTGGCCACCCTAAGAAGTCACAGCATTGGCACCCAGCACCCCAGCCCTGCCTGCTCCCCCCTCGAGGTGCTGCCCACACCTCCCCGGCCCCAGGAGAACCAACTCTTCTGC